ATTTTTAAATTTTTTTAATGTTTATTTATTTTTGAGAGAGAGACAGAGTGTGAGTGGGGAAGGGGCAGAGAGAGAGAGACACACACACACAGAATCCAAAGCAGGCTCCAGGCTCTGAGCTGTCAGCACAGAGCCTGACGCAGGACTCAAACTCACAAACTGTGAGATTATGACCTGAGCCAAAGTCAGTCGCTGAACCAACTGAGCCACCCAGGCACCCTTGTAGCATAAGAAATTTTAAGAACTTCTGCTGAATGCTCAATAAGTGTATGATGAATGATTAGTTGGACAGTTAAATGTATGAAAGAAAATAAATTAAATGAAAGAAAATTCCCTATGATCCAGCAAAGAAAGAAGGCTCCAGGTCTGGGAGTTGTGAGAACTTGCTGCCCATGAACATATTTTTATTCCACAAGATGGACCTTTTCTTCATGAAATTTTAGAAAAAGTTCAAAGTTTATTGAATACCCAATACATTTGTGGCCTGTGGAAAACTCTCCATTGCCTACACTACCACTAATCCCCTCCCCTTTCTTTTTTTTTTTTTAATTTTTTTTTTCAACGTTTATTTATTTTTGGGACAGAGAGAGACAGAGCATGAACGGGGGAGGAGCAGAGAGAGAGGGAGACACAGAATCGGAAACAGGCTCCAGGCTCTGAGCCATCAGCCCAGAGCCTGATGCGGGGCTCGAACTCACGGACCGCGAGATCGTGACCTGGCTGAAGTCGGACGCTTAACCGACTGCGCCACCCAGGCGCCCCCCCTCCCCTTTCTTCCATGCTAGCAAAGCTTATCTACTATAATAGTGCTAAACTAGCCCAATATTCCTTTGTGGTTAGTTCTGGCCATGGCTCAGTTCTAGACAATAAGATGTAAGGGGAAGTCTCTAGGAGTTTCTGGAAAATAAGTACTTCTTTGGCAGTGATCTTGGAGAGAAGCTTTCTTACCACCCTACCTTTGAGCATAGCTTTGTGAAGGTGTACAGTCTAGAAGTATGGCGGCCATTGTATGTCAACGAGGCAATAAATTTGAGGATGAGACAAAAACTTGCTAAGGATGGCAGATTGAAGTGGAGGAGGAACCTGGGTCCTCACTAATAGGATTATCATTAAATCATTCATGGCAGCACCCTATCCCAAACATTCTTATTTATAAGATTGTTAAATATCATTATTATTGAGCCCGTTTTTTGGTGGGTCTCCTATGACTCAACGTCTTCCCATCTCATACAGCAACACAACCTACTGACAAATTTGGCTGCCATAAGGCTTAGGGCTTCAGACCTTAACTAGCTAAGCACATCATTCTTTGTTCTCAGTCATCAGTTAGTATTTCCCCCTGCAAAGATCAGATTCATCCAATAATTATTTTAGCCCTAAAATACACCAGAAAGAAAAGAGGAGCATTGGTTCTCTAGTAGGGAAATGACTTCATGATCCTATAATCACCATCACCAGCAGACCTTGCTGAAACATTTCTATATACCTAACTCTCCTGTGTCCTGACCTAACATGCCAGGCCTGGACTGACAACAGCATACAGAAGAGGCTAAGTTCTGCTCTGAAATTAGAAACTGCTTTGATTCACACCAGCTCCAGGCATCACTTTCCCCAGTTCCAGCCCATCTCCTCCTGTACCTCCTGACATCGCTCACTTTCTAATTCTCTCTGGGGATTGACACACCTTTCCAATGGACTGTAAGCTCTTTTGAAGTCAGGGACAGTATCCAGGGGTTATTGTATCCTCCTTCAGTATCCAAGCAGGGAGTCAATAAATGTTTATTTTATGATACTTTATAAAAGGTTTAGGCCTAGGCATACTTCGTATATATTGGGGGTTCAGTTCCAGACTACCACAATAAAGTGACTATTGCAATAAACTGAATCAAAAGAATTTTTTTGGTTTCCCAGTGCAAATAAAAGTTATGTTTACCCTATACTGTAGTCTATCAAGTGAGGAATAGCATTATAACTAAAAAAGAAAAAAAAAAGGCATGTACATACCTTAAGAATATTACTAAAAAGTGCTAACTATCATCTGAGTTTTCAGCAAGCTGTAATCTTTTTGATGGTGGAGGGTCTTGCCTGAATGGTGACAACTGCTCACTGGTCAGGGTGGTGGTTGCTGAAGGTGGGGGTGGCTATGGCAATTTCTTAAAATAGGATCCATTTTAAAATAGGAAACTTTATTAGTTTGCTACATCGATTGACTCTTCATTTCACTTGAATACTTAGAAGCCATTGTAGGATTACTAATTGGCCTAATTTCAATGTTGTTGTGTTTCAAAGAATAGGAAAACCCAAGGGGAAGGAGACAGGGGAATGGCTGGTCAGCAGAGCAGTCAGAACACACACAGCATGTATCTACTAAATATACTGTCTCATCCTGATCACAGATCACCACAACAAACATAATAATAGCGAAAGATTTTGAAATATTGCAAGAATTACCAAATGTGACACAGAAACATGAAGTGAGAAAATGCTGTTGGAAAAATGGCGCCAATAGACTTGCTTGACACAAGGTTCCCACAAACCTTCAATTCATAAAAATAAGAAAAATAAACAGTATCTGGGAAGCACAATAAAGTGAAGCGCAATAATATGAGGTATGCCTATATTCATGAGAGTTGAGAGTATATAACATGATCCCTGCAGAGAAAGCACATGTATAAAGAGATACTTATGATGCCAAGCAGTGTGCACTCTAACAGCTGCATGAAGGAGAAAGTCAAGGTCCCTTGGGTCTGAGATGGGAGAGGAAGCCTCTATAGAAGAGCTGCACCTCAAACTAGTCCTGAAAGTGGATAAGACTTAGACAAGAAGAGGAATGAAAGGACCCACCAGGCGGGTCACACAGGGTGAGCAATGACAGAGGCAGAAGGAGAGTGAAACTTGCAGGAGAGTGAAAGATGGATGTAAAGAAAGTAGGAATAAAATGGGAGAGGCAGTTTGATATTAGACGGCGGAGAGCCTTTATTGTAAGCTCAGGCGTTTAGGCTTCATATTATATAGGTGAACCTTTGAAGGTTGTGGGAGAGAGCTACAATTATGTGCTTTGCAGATGCCATTTACCACACATCTTGCTGTGAAATCTGAGTCATTCATTGATGACAATGCCAGAGACTCTATACTGTCAGTCAGGAGATTATTAGATAGTGGAATTATCTGGTGAACAGGTTGTATTAGGACAGACTCAAAAGCCTTCCTATTTATGAACTGCTGCTTCCTGCTAACAATCATACTTGATTTGAAGGAAGGTCCTTCCATCACATTCCCAGAGACATGTTACAATTATCATCTTTTATTCTTCATTTTTGACCTCAAGGGCAGAGGCCTATAATAATCCTACACCTCACTTTATAGCACATCGCCACATTATTCCCACAAGGCCCATCTCTCATTTCATTATTTTCTCCTCCTCACCCCAGAACCCTCATCACCATTTCTCTCGTCCCCACAGAGGCATTCTGATGTTGTTAATATGTGCATGTATCTTTGTAGATCTAGTGTTGTTTTGTACTTAACAAATTTGAATTTGTTTTTTAAAATTTGGACAAATGGCATTACACTGTACATCTCATTTTCTCTTACTTGTTCACTCAAAATTTTTGCTTTTAAAATGTATCCATGTTGCATTATCAAAATACTGCATGTCTAAAAAAATATTGCATATCTAAACATTGAAAATATTGCCTCTGTTTGCTGCATACTTTTCCATAGAATGCAACCGCCCCACTTACTTATTTATTGTCTTATGAAGGGCATACATGTTAGTTCCAACTCCAAATTACCACAAACAGTGCTAAAAAGACCTCTTTGTGTGTTATCCCTTTGCGAAAATGTCTCTGGGATGTGTCCAGAAGTGGGCTTGGAGAAGCAGGATGACTATATAATTTATTGTCTTTCCTAAGAGGAACATTTTGGGAAGTAAAGGGGGCACTAGTAGTATATTATGCCCAAACCTCAGGTTTTCCCTGCCTTCCTGCTAAGCGGGACCTCTTGTCATCTTTGCCTAATTCCATTAAGATTGTCAGATTGCTTTCTAAAATGATCATACTCCTTTACTCTTCTCCCAACAATCAAAGAGTTCCCATAACCCCATAACTTGTAAACACCTGGCATAATGCAACTTTCCTGTTGTGACATGCTAATGTGTCTGAAATGGTCTGTGTTGTTCCACGACCAGTGAACTTGAGTACCCCTTCTGGTACCAGTTCACCACTTGAGCTTCTTCTCCTGTGAACTACCCCATCATATCCCTTACGCATTTTTCTTTGAGGTTTCCTGTCTTTTTTTCTTGTCAATTTGCAAGAGTTCTTTGTATATTCTATGTAATAATCCAATGTCATTTTTTTAAGAGATAGTTTCAAGCATTGCAAATTCTTCTCCCAGTCTGTCAGCTGTCCATTAACATTGTTTATGAAGCTTATGGTTTACAGTTGCCAAGGTCACCATTTTCTCTTAAAAAATAAAAAGACACTACTATCTTCTTCTCCAAGTTCTGGCTGACTCTCTAGCTCTTTGCATATTCTCTATAAAACAACAGCAAGATCGATAGGAAACACAAAACATGGCCTAGGATGTAAGACATTTGGGCCTGCAGAATGGGGTAATAAAGCTGAAAAGGACCTTGGACATCACCTAGTTCAAACCCCTCACAACATTCCAACTCACAAAAGAACAAGTGCCTTGATTGAGGGCTAAAAGCACAGGTCTCCTGCCTGATTCCAGGCTGGCTCTTCTTAGCACATCAGACACGCTGTGAAAGTGTCTGTTACTCCAGCCGTTCCTTATCGACATTCCTTATGTCAGGACTGACTCACCCTTCCATTTCCCATCCTGTAGAGCGAGTCCTGTTTTTGTTTCATGGTGGACTTCTTACCAAAGGCTTGGGGCACTAAAAGGCTAAAATGATTTCATTTTAGGATCTCATTATTATCAGCACATGTTTATTTCCTGCATTTTCAACATTTTCAAAGTAAAGCAAAAGACCTCACCTTGCTGTGGGCAGCATGTCTGAAAAGAGCCCACCAAACCTCCTGAGTCCAATGCCAACAAAACTCGGCTCCATGGCTTCCCCTGTTTCATATTCACACGATGCAAAACACATGGGCCAAATTTATGTCACTGTAATTTGCCTGGCAGCCTGCATTTAAATCACCAAGGTTTGCAGCTCCACGTTTTAGGGTGTCGTTTGCAGTCCTGTAGCCAAGAGCTCTGAAGAAACAAGCACACATGAAGGCTTGTTAGCCAGCCGGATGTGATGGGGCTCTCCTGGCAGACTAATTAGTATGCTGCAGCATATCTGCATATCTCTCAAATAGACATTGTTTGTGTCTTTCCTCAGTGACAGGGGAGACTGTTCAGTAGGACACCTTACCTTTTAATATGCAGGGTTTGTTAGAAGAACAGCTCAATTCATATTTCCCTGGTTTGATGGTAAGTGAACAGCAGTGGCAATATTAATCTGTAGTAACCTGTCAGTGAACTCTACAGCTAATATGATGTAGTTATGATTTTACCATCAATCAGGACTGAACAGGCTCTGGGCAATCCTTACAGCACAGCCTCAAAAAATCTAATTGTGCAAAAGCTTCATTGGTTTCCAACATTTCTTTTTTATCTGTCACAGGCTTTAGGCCTAGTACACAACCTTTTATTATTGGCCTTATTGCATTAGCTTGTTGGACAAAGGAGAAAAGGCTAAAGCAGAGGGTTCCCCTGCATTCCATCATTTGTTTGCATGCAGGATTTTATTTGACAGTCTCATATTGTTTTAGATGTAGATAAAAATTATTAGGACATATGGCATCATGTGAACTTTTGAACTGCCAATTGCCAATGTGTTCTAAAGGACTAGAGGCATTTAACAATTCTGATCTACCTACAGAGGCGGAGATGCCACATGGACGAGCCAATGAGGTCTCCCAGGGAATTGCATTTAGAGTCAACATAACCTTGCATGTCTTCCTTGACCAGTTTTTATGCGGGGGAAGAGTAAAATCACTCAGAAGTGGAACATTCGCAACTGAGATGATCTTTAGCCAAAATTAAGGCTGACTCTTTGTGATATGATGATAAGCAGTTCACTTTCTCCGAGAACCTGCACACACAGTATGAAGTAGCATGGAGCCACATGGCCTCCGTTCATATGCAGAACATTTCTCCCGGTGTCTGGGACGCAATCAGATTCTATTCCAATGAAAGCATGTGCATAAAACACAAACCCACATCAAAGTAGCTCCAGCTCTTGAGTCTACGGGGTTGGAAGGGACTGTAAGACTTAAAACATATAAAAACATTTACAAAGATGAACTATTAACTTTATCCATTTAGGCATTTTAATCTTTTGCATCTTAAATGCGATTGAGCCTTTTGGAACTGGGAAACTGCTAATCAGCATGTTGGGTAAATGTTTCTATTTTAAAATGTGCACACTTAGAAATAACAGCTGGCCATAAAGTACATATTTATGTTTGTGATTTAATGTATCACAAACTTTATATTTTATTTCATTTAGCTTCACAAAGAGACCACACTATTTTTTGCAAGCATTATATAATTTCCACAACAGCTTTACGAGTCAAGACACACATATGACAATAAATCAGATATGTATACAATGCCTAAATTTTTTCAAATTTGAAATGACTTTTAATAAAAGAAATAAGGATTATATCCATTTCTTACACTGTTCTGACTTATTTAAAGATTCAGTTGAAAATTCCTATTCATTAATCAAGAAAAATCTGCATAGAATTATAGTGATTGTCTTTTGAAACTCTGCACCCTTGCTTCAAAGGAAACATATTGTGAGTAAAGGCACATCAACAGCACAGCTGAGTGTTAACTCTTCACAAACCAGCGTGCACATTGTCCACAACCTAATAAAAACATCTACACAAAATGAGGAAATGGCTGTGACATCCTGCAATAAGCATGCAGGAACGCGCCTTGGAACTACCGAGGCGGCTGCTGGAGCAGAGAGACAAAAACAGGATGTGAAAATTATTGCAGGAGTGGTGGTGACTTTGAGAGTTCTCTGGCTACCTCTCCATCATTGGTGAGATTTGCTTGTTTTAAAAAAAACAATTTTTTTCTCTAGAAGACTCTTCTCAAATACCTAAATCTAAATGATCTTTTAGACCACCTGAAAACATTTCAGCTTTGACAGACCTCTTGGAAATTTACAGCTCCTCATGTAACCATTCCTTACAATGTGGTCTGCATACCCGGTAGCAGGAGTTTTCGTCAATACAGGAAAATGTTTGCATCTGTCAGAACAAGTTTATTTCCATAGTATCATAGGTATAAAGCGGGGAAGAGTACTAGATCCTATTGCGTTGTTATTAACAAGCAAAACATGACAAAGAACATTCTCATGAGCAGGTTCAAAGTCTGAAAACCAAAAAGATCCCCAAACTGAGTAATTATCCCCTAATAAGAAATCAATGTCTAACCCAGACATTGCTGAACACTCAGACAACTTTTTAAATTAAAAAGCATGTACAGAGGCATAGCTACTACATACACGCAATATTCATGACAAATACCAGTGACAGTGGAAAATTCTCTGCAAAAGCAAAAAGTGCTAAGCAAACGAAAAGTACCATTTCACCAACATTCTCCTTGGGTGAGCTGGAAAAAAGATCACTGGATTCATCTCATTAATGTCTCAATAAGTGTATATTGAGAAAATATGTCTTTCAAAAGCACTGAAAACAAGGGCACAAGGTTTATTGAGGAGAATGGGAGGTAAAGACATGCGTCAGAAGGATGGTGAACTTCCTTAAAAAAGACTATCTGGGGCGCTTAGGTGGTTCAGTCAGTTAAGCATAAGACTTCAGTTCAGGAGTTCAGGTCATGATCTCATGGTTTGTGAGTTTGAGCCCCACGTCGGGCTCTGTGCAGACAACTCAGAGCCAGGAGTCTGCTTTTTGGATTCTGTGTCTCCCTCTCTCTTTGCCCCTCCCCTGCCTTCACATACTTTATCTCTCTCTTAAAAATAAATAAACATTTTTTAAAAAATTAAAAAGACTATCTGGCCATAGTGATAGGTAAAGTTACAGAGTTCTGGGGGAAGAAGAGGGAAAAGCTGATGAATTTTAATTCACCACATATTAATTAACTAAAATTGGAACATAGATAATAAACATTACTATGCAAATTGTTTATATTTTCAAACATTCATCTCTACACATATATATTACATATAAATGTAAAATATACCTTCTCATGCTGTTATAGTTTTTTAAAGAAAATGTCTATTCACGTACATCTTAGGTACATATAATTTTGGCCAGGTTTGTCCTCATTGAGAATATTTCCTAGACCCCAGACAATTTAATAAAGTTTCATATAATTTACGCTTTTTTCAAAAAAACTGTAGTCTTGTTTGGAGGGTATAAAGAGCAATAATTATTCTGGAAATCTACTGAGCATGGAAAGAACTGAAAAATATAAAAGTCATAATGGCAAAATGTGTGAAGTTCAGCAACCAACAAGAGGGAAACACAATTATAAGCTTAGTTGGTCAGAATACAAAAAAGCTAATAAAAAAATACAATACAAAGATTAATTTCAAAATTATTAGAAAAACATCAAGTAGTACATGAATCATTGAGGTAGGATTAGTCAGCTCCTCTTGTATTTTGCAAGCAGAAAAAAGAGGAAATGAAATTCAAATCCAATCACATTTACTTGCATTCTTTTTTGGTTAACATTATGTTTAGATTAAGGCTGTAGGTCAAATGAAATATATGCTGTGGGTCAAATGAAGTATTTGGTTAAACCATATGAAACTGACATTTTGTAGGTCAAAATTGGTTGACCTTTAGCAATTCCACGTGGTTCATGTATCTTAATACATGTTGTAATGTAGATAATTTCAGATAGTTTTTGAAGTCAAATAGGCATGTTTGGATGTCATCTTAGTTCTACCACTTGATTATCTATGAACGCTTAGGCAAGTTACATGCTTTTACCTCTCCTGTAGTATCCTCACCTAGGTAAAGGGCACTGTGGTATCTACTCTTAGAGTGTTGTGTAGATTAGATGAGTAATCCACATATAGTTCTTCATATAGGGCTTTGTCCCCACCTAATGAAAGTAGTTCCCCAAAGGCCTGTACCAAAGTCAATAGTTTATAAATGAGAAAGGAGGGACCCTAAGGTTTTACTGAATCTTCTGAGATGCTCCACGATTTTAAGTGTTCTGGGCTTCTGGGCACCTTCCAGAGAAGCCACACCTAACACAAGCCAGCTGTCCATATAGGTGAGGGCATCCCACCAAACATCTGCTTTGAATCAATGTCAGCTTCATCTTTGAAAGATATCCTGAATCTTGTTTCCACACCTCACTCTGCCAGGGACAGTAGAATTTAAAATCACCAGGAAAACACGGAGAATAATTCTTTGAAATTCAATAGCTATGAAATTGGAAAGTGGAGTGGGTGGGGAGCTTATGTCAAGCCCCTCACATTTCATAAGCAATTTAATAACTCCTCAGTGCCTGATGGTATTAATCCCACTGGCCTTACATATTTGGGTTAATTTCCTTTGGGGTAAGCTTTTTCACACCCCATCCAACCAGAGAAGCAAGTGCTTATCAAACTCTGGAGGATGCTGGTGGGTGGTTTCTTCTCAGTGGAGTCCTCATCTCCAACACCCAGTGTGCTCTTCCTACATAAGCCTTCAGAGTGAATTCCATTGCCTATCAGCTTTCTGGAGGAAGGACACAGAGCCCTGAAAGTACATCTAACAATTAACAATAAGCTTGTGGCTCTGATGAATGATTTCCATGTAATATTTCACTTCATTCTCACAGGTCTAAGGGAGTTATCACTTCCATTTAGAAATGAGGAAACAACTTCAGCCTTACCAAAGTCACACCACTAAGTACCAGAGAATTCCAGAGTTGGACTTCTCTGTTATTATACCCTGATTCTTCTGAAAATCAAGAACAGCCTAAGAATAGGCATGTTATAGATGGTTTTTCTTCCTTATGAGTAGAATTTCTATATCAAATAATCAGCTAAAGACGACTATTTTTCTTATCACATCCTCCAGCTCATTCCCATTATCCCTCAAAATGGGCCAACATCACCCTGCCTTCCATTAATGACTAAAGAGTGGTCCTCTCCTATATGGTTCCCAGTGTTTTACCTTTAAAGGGAACCCCTTCAATGAACTGATGCATTGTTTTTAGTCTTAGCTTGT